CGCAACTGCAAAGTGGAGCACGTCGAAAATTCGGACGACTCGAAATGAATGTCGCGACGATGAGGTGCGCGTAGCACGGGCACGTTAAGATTAGGACCTTGATCCGCGTGTGCAAATAGGCCGCTCTGATACCATGTAAGAAATAGAGCTAAAATGATTGATTAGGTAAGGAGCCCAAGGCTCTATCAGTACATGACAAGGTAAAGGAGAATGGATGAAGGGGGAATCGGAGGGAATCCCCATTGGGATCTCCGGAATCTCCAATTGGGTAATTGGGAGATTGGGGGGATCACAATTGGGTAAGGTTGGGATTTTATGAGTACATCCCAACCCACTAGAACATTCGTAACCTAACTAGGATATAAAAGTACAAATACAAAAGTAGGATTTCCAATCTATCTCTAACACACCCCCATAGACTGCAAAACCCGGTCAAGGAGCATATAGCCCCATGGAACAAAGAAGGCGATGGTGGTCAGCCTTGCCAAGAGCCTTGGTAAAGAGGTCGGCAAGGTTGCAATTGGAGGCTTTGTACCGTACCATCAGCTGGTCACTCTGAACAAGATCCCTGATGAAGAAATGACGGAGTTCAATATGCTTGGTGCGAGAGTGGAACACAGGATCCTTGGTGATATGAATGGCGTTCTGGTTGTCACACCATAGGGTGGGTGACAGCTGGGGGTAGCCTAACTCAGCGAGGAGAAAGGAGAGCCAGCATGCCTCTTGAGCAGCCATTGTGCCCACGTAGTGCTCGGCCTCGCTGGACGTCAGGGAGACTGTAGAGGACCGAGTGGAACGCCAGCTGATGACTCCGTTACCAAGAGTGAAGGAGTACCCTTGGGAGGAGCGTCTGTCAGTCTGGTCATCGGCCCATGAGGAGTCTGTGTATCCCTCAAGCTTGACTGGAGAGGTACCACCGAGAGTGAGGATGTGAGACTTGGTGGCTTGTAGATAGCGGAGGACCCTCTTGGCTGCAGACCAATGCGAGGCAGGGTAGTGTCCGGGGGAGACGTACCGAGAGAGGACACTAACCGGGTAAGCCAAGTCTGGTCGAGTGCACATCATGGCATACATGAGTGAACCGACTAGCTCAGGGTACGGGTCCTTGCAGGCGTCAGGAGAAGGAACTGGAGGGGCCGTGAGCTGATGCTGTAGTGGGAGTGGAGTGGAGACAGAGTTATTGGAGTCCATGTCGAACCGCTTGAGAAAATTGTCAATTTAGGACTCCTGGGAGAGGGTGATCGTGCAAGCCTGGCGGTCACGAGTGATCTCCATCCCCAGGTAGTTCTTGAGGTCACCAAGATCCTTCATGAGGAGGGCAGAGCTGAGAGCAGACTGGACAGCTGCCATGTCGGCTGGATCTCTGGTGGCTAGAATGAAGTCGTCGACGTAGACGTGGATGTAGAAGGGCTCGGAGGAGTGACGAACGAAAGGATTGGAATCTGAGGCGGAGGGATGAAAGTCAAGTGCGAGGAGGGCTTCCTTCACCTTGTTGTGCCACTCACGAGGAGCCTGCTTGAGGCCATACACTAGGCGCTTCAGCTTCCACACTGTGTTGGCAGGATAAGTGCCAGGAAACCCCGGTGGGCGTTCCATGTGAACATCCTCCTTGAGCTGGCCTTGGAGAAAGGCGGAGGAGGCGTCCATGGACTTGATCTCGAAGTTGCCGCGCGTGGCTATATCAAGAAGAGCGCGCACAGTCGGGAGCTTGGCCGTGGGCGAGAATGTTTCGAAGAAATCGAGATACTCCTTCTGGGTGAAACCCTTTGCCACGTATCGTGCCTTGAACAGTGGAGCTTCGCCTACGAGTTGTTTGACTCGGAAGATCCATTTTCCACCGATGATGTTAACACCGGAAGGGGGAACGACATCGTCAAAGCTGTTGTTGCGAATGAACGCCTCGTTCTCCACATCCATTGCTGCCTTCCACTCCTTCTTATAAGGCCCTGAGAGAGCTTCCTCTTTTGTGCGAGGAGTGGGAATGGTCGGGTTCTCGGTGAAGTTGAGGGAAGGGCAGTCAGTAATGTCCGGGAAGATGTGTGAGAGGAGTTGCCAGACCGCGTGAAGGTCAAACAGCTCCTCATGCCTGTCCTCCAGAAGTGCACGGGGGGGAATACGGATGGAGGGGACATCAACCCCAGCAGGAGGAGGTGGGGTGACCGAACACCGGATGGAGAAGGCGGCTGTTCCCAAGGTGAGAGGCGGAGCCGATCCCTTGGACCAAGTGCGACTAGAGACCGGAGACGAAGGCAGCTGCGGTGGGACCGGAGGGAGTGGGCGCTTCCGGTAGGAGACCGGTGAGCCGGGCTCAACGCGTGGGGAAGGCGGAGTAGGAGGAGGTGCCGCTGCGGAGCATACCGGGGAGGCCGGGTGAGACACGCCGGACGGAGAAGGCCCCGGAGAAGGGGCAGTGGCCGGAGGTGGGGCATCGAAGTCTGCCCATACAAGCGTCGAGGGAGGTGGACGAGGCTCGCCCGTGGTTGCCGTATGGAAAGGGCTTGTCTCATCGGCCCATGAGGAGTCTATGTATCCCTCGAGCTTGACTGGAGAGGTACCACCGAGAGTGAGGATGTGGGACGTGGTGGCTTGTAGATAGCTGAGGACCCTCTTGGCTGCAGACCAATGCGAGGTAGTGTAGCGTCCGGGGGAGACGTACCGAGAGAGGACACTAACCGGGTAAGCCAAGTCTGGTCAAGTGCAAATCATGGCATACATGAGTGAACCGACTAGCTCAGGGTACGGGTCCTTGCAGGCGTCAGGAGAAGGAACTGGAGGGGCCGTGAGCTGATGCTGTAGTGGGAGTGGAGTGGAGACAGAGTTATTGGAGTCCATGTCGAACCGCTTGAGAAGGTTGTCGATGTAGGACTCCTGGGAGAGGGTGATCGCGCAAGCCTGGCGGTCATGAGTGATCTCCATCCCCAGGTAGTTCTTGAGGTCACCAAGATCCTTCATGAGAAGGGCGGAGATGAGAGCAGACTGAACAGCTGCCATCTTGGTTGGATCTCTGGCGTCTAGAATGAAGACGTCGACGTAGACAAGGATGTAGAAGGGCTCGGAGGAGTGACGAACGAAAAGACTGGAATCTGAGGCGGAGGGATGAAAGTCAAGTGCGAGAAGGAATTCCTTCACCTTGTTGTGCCACTCACGAGGAGCCTGCTTGAGGCCATACACTGGGCGCTTACAGCTTCCACACTGTGTTGGCAGGATAAGTCCTAGGAAACCCCAATGGGCGTTCCATGTGAACATCCTCCTTTAGCTGGCCTTGGAGAAAATCGGAGGAGGCGTCCATGGACTTGATCTCGAAGTTGTCGCTGTTGGTTAGAGAAGGCTATAAGCAGATAATTCAATGACTCCTTGGAAATTTCTGCAGCACTTCGAAAAGTGACATGATTTGAAATTCCGATATGTTGTAGCTTGCGGTGTCAGCTTTCCACTGAAAGTTGAATCACTCGATTCCGTAGCTTAACGAGTGAGCTATGGCGTTTGGCGCACTGGGGGGTAATTTGCCATAGGAGAAATTGACAGTCCTCAGAGTCACTGTAATTGAAGCTTACAAGTTCAGAGGCATGATGGAAAAGGCATTGAAGCACAGTTCTAAGGTGGGGATGGAAGGGAGTGATGAAAGGGAAGGACCCTGGAGGCCCTTGGTCAAGAACATGACAAGAGTCAAAGTCTTGACTCCCCATCCTCAGGTTCAGCCAGCTTGGCAAGACAAAATTCACACAGTGCTTGGTTGGCCTCCAAACCCCAAATGCTGCAGTTGCAAGGTGAGGACAAAAGTCCCACACATGCTGGTCCCTTCTCGTTATAGGGCTCTCCAACTTTGGTGTAGCAGCTGCCAAGGACTTCCAATGAGTTGTAACAAATCCATCAAACATTTCTTCGTAACTTCTTTATATGTGCTCTGATTCCAACAATTCTTGGCTCGTTGGAATGTGCTCGATGTCATGCACAATCCAAGCACATCTGCACAAGCACAAGATGAACATGCAAAGACATGCAAACCCAACAAACCATACAAACAACGTAGTACACAAAACACATGCAACGAAATGATGCGAACAGACGACAGGATGACGTGCAAACGAATATGCACCAACACACTCCCCCTCAGACTGTCGGCTTGTTTCGCCGTCTCTAGTTCAAGGATATTCCTGCCATCCTCGCACAGCGCAAGTGTAGCTCTTCAGCTAGCCGCTTGGTAAGGAAGTCGGCTGGTTATTGCTGAGTTTTCACATAGATCGGATCCAGTGTCCCAAGCTTCACCTCCTTCCGCAGCCAATGCCACTTGATCCTCATGTGCTTGTTCAACCCATGAAGAACTGCTTTGCGTGCCATGACAATGGCTCCCTTGCTATCACTGAACAGAGGTGTCGCACAAGTCTGTTCATGGCCGATCTCCTTCAAGAGCCTCCTTAGCCAAATGATTTCTTTTGCCGCATGAAACATCGCCATGTACTCAGATTCCACTGAAGATAGTGCCGTTTCAGACTGCTTCTTGGACCTCCAACTTACAGGCCCAACACCCACCATGCAGATGTATCCACCAACTGATGATGAATCCTCATGCTCAGAAGCCCACGTGGCATCAGCAAAACAGGAAAGGAACACCTTTCCTTCTCCGAGCTGCTCTCCCTTGTCTTTGAGAACTTCAACTTCTTTTTGACTGAGTTGAGCAGAGGCTGAATACTGTACTCCCACTGTAGGGTATGACTTGAGGTAGCGCACCACTCTCTCTGCTGCACCACACTGCTCTTCTGTTGGGTTTTGCACTACTCGAGCCAGCTGTCCCACAGCAAAGCTGATGTCAAGCCGAGTATGCACAGCAGCGTAGAGTAGGCTCCCGACCATGGATTGGAATTGCCTCTGGTCTTCACTCTCATCTCTTTCTCCTTCAGTGGCCTTTATGAGTTTGAACTCGGAAGGCAAAGGTGTGACCACTTTCCGTTCTTCCTGAAGAGAGTTCTTCTCAGCCAAGGTGTTGATGTACTGTCCCTGATGCAGTTTGAGCCAGCCACGTTCAGTATCCCCGCTCAATGTGCATTCCCAGGTAGTACCTTGCCTCTCCAAGTGACTTGCACTTGAACTGCTCTGTGAGCTTCCGCTGCACCCCATCGATCTCCTTGTCACTGCTGCTGAAGAGCAGGATGTCATCCACGTACACCAGTAGAAGCACAAGTGACTCCCCCTCGCCCATCAGGAATAGGCTCTCGTCGCATGCACTCGCACGGAATCCAATCCCTTCCAGTGCACTGGCCAGCCTGTTGTACCAGCATCTCGGGGCCTGCTTCAAGCCATAGATGGCCTTGTTAAGTTTGCAGACACGACCGGTTCCATCCTCATAGCCAGGTGGTTGAACCATGTACACCTCCTCTTCCACAATGCCGTACAGAAAAGCGGTTACGATGTCCATCTGCTTCACCTTCCATTTGCGCACAGCAGCTACCGCCAGCAGCACACGTAGCGTTGGAGACTTAGCAGTTGGGGCAAACACTTCTTTGTAATCTTCCTTCTCTTTCTGCTGAAACCCCTTTGCCACCAGCCTGCTCTTGTAAACTGATGGCTCTCCTTTCTCATCCGTCTTGATTTTTGCCAGCCACTTGCACTGTATTGCCTTCTTCCCATTTGGCAAGTACACCAGGTCCCATGTGTGATTCTCCATCTGGCTGTTGTACTCTGCATCTCTTGAAACGAGCCACTTCCCCCGTTGAGGCCCGGCTAGCGCATGATCCATGCTCGGAGGTTGTATTGGTGCGTAAAAGCAGTATGCAGGCTCCTCGTCATCTGACTCTTGGTCATCACCCAAGAACAGCACTGCATCTTCGCCTTGAGCCTGTTCCTGCTGCTCAGTTGTGGCTCCTCCACTTGTAGAGCTCAGCAGCTTTTCGTTGCCATTCTGGTACGTGCAGGGTAGATGGTTGGATTTACCCATTCTTTCACCTTCACCCAATCCTTTGTCCCCCCACCAATCTGTTTCCTTCGCTTTGGCAGACTTGGTGTTTTGGAAGCCTCTTGCTGCTGCTGCTCCGGATCCTTGACTTCAGCATCAGCTGCAATATCCTCATTGCTTTCCTTCATCGTACCGCTTGCCGTTGGCAGTGACTTCGCTGTCCTCAGGTTCGGACAAATCGAAGTGCATAGTGATCTCTTCCAGCTGCTGGTGACCCTTGCCTCCGGCTGCTTCTCCCACTTGCCATACATGATGTTCTCCACAAATTTGACATCCCGACTGTCAAACAGCACATTCTTTGAGGGCTCCCAGAGTAGCCA